TTACTAATGGAGACGATTGATGTAGCTCGTTACTGGCCTCTCACCCTGTTTAGCGCTTCTTTTGCCAGTTTTGCCCCACACTAATATACCCTCTATCCCAGTCAGTCCACCTCGCACCCATCAACACTCAACGACTGCTGTACAAATATGCTGTCACTATGCTCACATCCCTAATTTGTCCCGAACTGAGCTAGATTCATGGGCTCTCAGAATCTACAATCTTTCTCTGGTTTTACCAGAAGCAATTTACCAGAAGCAATGATCAGGTAGATGTTAATGCGCAGAAAAGTTCTGGAGTCACCTCCGGTCTCGCAGTTAGCCACAAAATTGCGGCACGCGGGGCACCATCCTAAACTCGACCAGTTCCTTGTCAGTCAGGTCTCCTGGTATAAAGAGAAGGGTGTCACCGTCAAGGATGAGGGAATTAGATTGGAGGTAGAGCGCTTCTCCGTGATCCTAAAGATCGAGTCTCCTTCAGAGTGGTCAAATGGATGCTTCATCGGGCGGGACATGTACTTGACAGTAATAATTCTCTTTATGCAGTTACGACTGTCCCCATAGTTAATCACCCCAGAGTAGGAGTATTTGACTTCAAATGTACGCCATTTTACCACGGAGGGGTGTATCTTGGGTTTGTATGCAACTGGTCAACGGGAACCGCTAATTCATTGCTGTTGAGGGAGTATTCCAAGCCTAGGGATCACTAACGAGGGGATCGTATGTATACATATAATGATACCGTCGTATTCCCAGGACTCTTTAGTTAACTCAGCATAAACAAATACAGCCTGAACACCACAAGCGGAGGCTGGTGCTGAAGAGCAGAGCTAATTATATCGCATTTTAAACTCGTATTATGCATGATAATCTCAGAAATATTACACGTATTATTACTTATGACAGAGAATATCATGTTGTATGACGGAACGCTATTTCTACAGGTGGAAAATGCCATTCTACAGGTGCATTGTGCTTTCTACAGAAGGGATAGGGAGGACGTAGGGTCCATTAATTAGTCCATAAGGACATAAATTTAGTCATCCTGTCAGATTCGTTTGCGGTCTACATATCGGTAATGTAGAGTAACGATCTTGAAGTGGCTTCAAATTGACCTCCATTGAGCAGTTATCACGTTTTTACGAAGTCTGCCTCTGTCCTGGCATAACAATC